CCAGTTCTATCTTTAAATAGTGAGAATTCAGCCAGAACTTGAATTCAGTACCTTAAACCTTGAAGCACACTACATAAAGCATCCCTTCCTTTACAAGTTATTGAGAATACATTATATAAGGTTCCTACTCTTTACTGAATGACATTCAATTATATTTTAGCCCATACAAATTTTTTTTCATAAATTATAATTTCTGGGATGAGGAGTTATTCACATGCCGACTATTGTCCTCATCATTATTATCATCACCTGACTGCTTTCTGTCTGAATTTCTGGGAGGACAACTTATTATTCACATGTGGACTATTATCCTCATCTTTGTTGTTATCACAATATTTCAGCCATTGTGCTCTCCAACTTTCATCAGATGATTGTTGATCAGTAGGTAGGTTAGGTTTAAGGCTCCAAGTTCTCTACTCAGGATTGTCCTACAGGACAATAGTCTAGTGATGGTTCATGACTTTGGTGAGAATAATTGTGAGTTCAATCCTTGGGCCAAACAGTGTGTACTTGAACTCTGTGGAAAGAGTGAGCAATATCTGAGCAGCACGAGATAAAAACTAAATTAGATATTTCTAAAAATAGTCAACAGAATAAGAACAATATATACATGTAGATTAAATAAAGGGTTCAGTTTGTAATTTTCCTGAAGTTTAGCCGGATCGACAAGTGCCTGGTGAAGCCCGGAGAGCACAACAATTGAAATGTTGCAATAATCTAAATTTAAAATTTCACTTTATGATACAAACAAAAATACTTCATTTTGTATCAATATGAAATTAGCAACATTTTTTTTCAAACATCAACTTTCAAGAACTCTAGATAGACATTGTCTTAATATTGTGAAATATTATAGTATCAGAGATATCAAATAAACTTTTCTTTGATAATCACCAAAACAAAAAAAGATTTAATGTCAAGACCAACTTGAATGTCACAAAAAAAAAAAAAAAAAAAAAAAAAAAAAAATCTATAAGACTTGATAGGAAATTGGTTAAAATGGCAATTTCCAAGAAAACTAAGTGATTGAGTGCAAGTGTTCTTACATTTGTCCAGTCAATTATTTAAACAGGTTCCATTTAGCCATTCCTTCACACATTCACCCTCCCGTCTTAACACACTTATTTCTTTACATATTCGTTTACACATTCTCATTCATTTAACGTTCGAGTTTGCATGCAAGAAGGTCAAAGAAAAAAAATGTAATCATCTTTATGTTCCAATGTGCATTGAATTACAATAAGTGTGGGCGTTACTCTCATTCAGCCAATATCAATTTCCTGACTGGCCATTATGGTTTATTTGATTATTTGTTCTATATACTCCTCTAATCTTAAAATCATTACTTATGAATATACAGCTTCAAGACCAGTGATGAGGTTTAGGTAGAAAGTCCCAAGAAAACAATCATAAATGATTATCACATCCATGCAATAAACATAAAAATGCAATGGTTGGCCTGGAAGCAGAAAATGGCTATAATAAAAAATGATCCTTGAAGATCACAACATCTGACAATGAGTAGAGTGTGAGAAAAGTATGAGAGTAGCCAATCATCAAAATATTAAAATATCTCTTGTATGAAACGTATAAAATATGAGTATCTTTTGTAATACACACACTTCACTTTTACTATGACCGACTTGATTATTTTTGTTTACATTTTTGATGAGTATAATAAAACAATTTTTTTTTTTAGACACAAATTGAACTTAAAAATGTTTTGTAATGTTAGAAATAATTCATGATAAAACATTAAATAAAACCTCTTCAAAATATTAGGAAAAAAAAAAATCATTTCACCCCAAGAAAGGTGATAATGCCACTAAAATGTTAGGAGTTACTGAAAGTGAATGAAAATGAGAATTTAAGAAGAAACCATAAACCCAATCCTAAACAGGAAACAAAGGATAAACCTCTACTCCTGTTCAAAAGAGAAAAGAGTGAAAACCTATCTGCTCCTATTGAATGTTTCTGGGTGCTTCACAAATCTAGTCTTAAAGTGTAGTTAGTTTTGTTCCACAATAAACATGATATGCATGAAACTGCATAGAACAAGATAAAACAATTTTTTTTCCCTAACTTACTTTCATCCTTGATGATTTTATACTGTGTTATGGCAACATTACCATTTGGAGATATCTTGTTTATAGATAATGCCTTTGTGAAAAATTAATAGAGAAAACAGTACCTAATGGCAGAAATAGAATATGTGTTGCCAACTTTGCCAATGACAATTCAGAAATATAAGAGTTATCTTTGGAATTATAACCACGTTTCATTGTCTGTTTATCATTGACCAAAAATCCTAATTCAAACATCTAGTAATTACAAAAGGACACAAAAGAAAACGGTACAAGTACTGTGGTCTGTGCTGAAAAGTGTGTGATGTCATGGAGACATTAAAAAAAAAAAAAAAATTTCTTTTGTTTTTTTTAAATCTTGGCATTTCACTGCATTTACATCACACTATATGGCTGTTTCAATAAATGTAACTTTCAAAACTTGTTTATTGAATACACTATATATTAATAATTTTCTATCAATTGTGTGCACCATAAGCTCCAAAAGAAAAAAAAAAAAAAGATTTAATTAGTAAGAAAAATGACAAAGTTTGAATAGGTTCCCATAGAAAATAAAATAAATTCTGATATTAAAATTGATGGACAACATTAGGTAACATTTGCTTTCAGTATATCTTTATAGTGAGAAAATTGCAAACATGTAAATAAAACAGTTTTGGCATAGATTTAAGTATTTGTCAAATGCAGAAATATTCAGATATTTACCTTTTCCCAAGAATGAATGGCATATGCTTTTATTACAAATGCTAAAAGATGATGATCGCCACTGTTGCTATAATCTGGACACTCAATTTATTTCTGTTTCTTAGGCTTCATTTGTTGGGATTCAACAGAACTAGTGACAGGGCTATGCACAAAGATATTTTTTTTCTCTTCGTATTCCTTCACTAATATTCAACCACATCATTTACTACTAAAGCCAATGTTGCAATCTTAGTATTTACACACTAGAAGTAATGAAGACAAATGCCTTTTTTTTCTCCATGGAATATTAGTCTGAAACCACACCCAGAGTTCCAAAAACCACCAACTTACCACCATACTGTTTACAGGCGCTAATACAAAATTACACCAAAGATTGTAAACTAAGACAATAAAACATTTTCACTTATTCAATTTCTTGATATCTATCATTGAGCTATTTTGTATCATAGGAGAGAAATAAAAACAGTATATGTATACAAATGTTGAACTGAAATTCCTGATGATCTAAGCAGAAGATAAAAAGAATGGTACAAATAGAGCATAAAATATTTAGCAAATAGGTTTGTTGTTGTTACTTCTGGGCTCTTTTTGTGTTGCAAACAAGAAATGCAATTAAGGATTCCAAAAATATATTTCTATAGAAGAAAACAGTTTATTCTTTACTTGATATTTATAGAACTTAAGTAGATTGTTTTAAATATTAAGACAATAAACAAGCAAGAAATGTTACTGAAGAGTAAATCAGTTTCCAATTTGATACTTTTTTTTAACATTGTAAGGCTGTCAATAAAATTGTCATTGAGAAGAGAGAGGAGTATGTAATAGTGTGGCAGGAAAGAAAAAAACTACTATTCTCTACTTATGTCTCAATTACCTATCATTAAAGTAACACAAGTAGATCAGACAAAACTGTAAAAGTGAACAGATTCACACATGTAGGAGATAAATATTAGTAAATAACATTCTTCTTAGTAACTGACACAAACAAACAGCAAACTACTTATGATTTTTTTTTATAGCATTACATTGGCATTTTCAATTTTTTTAAAAATCAATTCACCTCAAGCAAGGCAATAATGCCACTAAGATGCAAAGGGCTACTAGGAGTGAAGGAGAATGAGAAAACTTTATAAGAATCTGGAAACAAGAGATAAACCTCTACACCTGTTTAAAAGAATCAGAGAAGAGTGTGCACTTGATGACAGGCAAAGCTAAGAAGGAATGAAAAGAATTGTTTCAAAGTTGGCTTTCAACACTGCTATGATCTGGACAAATAAATTTAACTTTCATTACATGTCAACAGATTTTTTTATTAAGGTTCCAAAAATGCAAATTTATTTTCCAAAACACTTTCTTTAAAAATATTTTTGTTAGTCAAGCATTTCAAAAACTGGTTTACTTAAAAATAAACAGTTTATTCTGTGTACTTTGAGAAAAAAAAAAAGACCTGTTATAAACTAAATTAAGAAGAAAAACCCAGTAATATTATTGGAATTGGTTTTTATGTAAACATCATGACATTGTATCTTAAGATAAACAAAAAAACAAAAAAAAAACAAATCAAAACAAGGTAAAAACCACCACACTAAATATCTTATGGTCTTCCAGGGAAATTTCTTTCATTATTATTAAAGTAAAGGGAGTTTTCAAATGAATGCTTGGTATTATAAATTTATACAAACATGATTTTAATTAAGGTTGGTACAGTTTTATATTGATATTGTGATGCAAAATGCAATTATTATTGGTACTTTAAAAAAAAAAATTTTTATGTGTGCATAATAAAATTTTATATATAAAAACAAAACATTAAATGTAGTTGTTGAGGAAAGACAATGTAATGCATATGTTGTCAGCAAAAGAGACAACCCAAGTTGCAAATTATACATTAGGGACGTCAAAATTAAACAAGTGCAAAAATTTAACTATCTGGATATTAACTTAATTTTGATTTGTTTGTTTTTATAGCTTGATATTTTGCAGGTTGCTTAAAACCAGTATTTTTTATTTTTATAGATTTTAAGAATTTTAGGAAGGAGATAATAATTTACTGATACAAGTCATTATTAACCCATAGCTGGGTGATAGAATAAGTGAATTCATACCGTTCCTAAGGATATTTGTGCGTAACAAATACCAAATGGAATTGGAACTCAGCTTTCCAATTTACAAATCTGAACTGTTATCTATTAAACCCCCTGCATATCCAAGCTTACAGCACCTGGTATTCCCAAGTGATTACCCATTTAGGTACTGACCAGACTCAATGTTGTTTAACTTCAGTGATCATACAAGAATTAGTGTTTCAATGTGATATGGTCTTAAGGTTATTGTGGTAACAATGAGCATAGAAAGAGTAAAAGATGCCTTTCAGAAACTGAGCAAAGTATTAAGTGATCAGAAAGTACCATTAGAAATAAAGACAAGAGTGTTGGACTTTTATGTTATCTACTCTTCTATATGACAGTGAATGTTGGACAGTTTCCTCACAGATGAAAGAGAAAAAGATAACATGCTTTACTAACGAATGTTGAAAATATAGATAGAGCTTGTGAGAAACTAGGAAGGAAAGGAACAAAGAAACTACTGCTAACAATCAGAAAATGAAAATGATAGCTGAAATTGCATTGGACACAAGAAGGCTTGGAGAACTTAACACTTACAAGGTATATTGAAGGCAAGAGAAAAAATGAGAGAAACAACAAGTATTTGATGAGTGAATAAATAAATGTCATAGCAATTAGCACAAGACACAAAAAGGGGCAGTAAAAAAAAAAAAAAAAAAACAACAGTTACTGAAAGAAACGAAATAAAGTTATGAAGAGCCATGATAATCCATGTCGTGAAAGGATGTAATAGATAAGTGCTATCATTTTTGCTTTGTTGATGCTATTTGCTTTATTTTCTTTTAATCATTGGTGTGTGTAAAGAATTCAGCAAAAGCAGCAATCAACAAAGAAAAAATTTTTTTAGACAAGTACTTTCAAAATCTAATAAAATATCACAGTTGCATGTGAAAAAGTAGTCAAATTTATCACAATTTTGGGAGGGAATAAGCTTTTCAGTTTAAAAAGAAATATTATCAAAGGAAGACTATACAACCTGTATAGATGTCAGTATACCAAAACATTTCCTGTTCTATAGATATGAGGGTACTGAAAGTTCTCAGATGGACAAAAATCATTTCATCAACCAAACATTAGAATCCCAACTTGGAAAATGGATTCAATCAAGACATTTTTTAGCACCTCACTACCAAACCATAATTAAAAAAGTCATAATAAAAACACTAAAATCAGCTTTTCTTTAGATATTCAACTGTCCTCATTTGTTCATGTTTGCAAAATGCTGATTAGCAATGTATGGAAAATACAGTAAATTTCATTAACAATTTATTTAATCTTATAATATGCTCTCACAGGATATAAATAAGATTAAACATGAAATTAAGTAGACTGAAAAAAAAAAAAAAAAAAAAAAAAAAAAACAATTTACATTTAACACTTAAGCAAATATTAACAAGTGTTTCATATAATTATTTACTAAATAGCATTGAGGAAAAAAAATAAAATAAAATGCACATCATTTCAGTCTTCTGATGTTAATATCCTTTCCAAATCTTGTATAATTAAAGATCAGTCAGAAGAAATCAAATCCTTTAGACCAGAAAGTTGGTGGTGTTTGTTGTTAAAAGCATTATAGACAGCCAAACAGAACAGGTTTGTGATTTTAATATTCAACTATGAGATATGATATGCGTGTAGTGCAGTCCTGGGCAAACTGCAATCCACATGCAGCCTGATTGCCATTCTGAATAGCATGCCTAATTTTATGAGGAAAATAACATTAAAATGTTTCTTTCATTCTCGCATGTTCATTCACCCATTCTTTCATGCATAGCCACATACATAAACAATTAAGTACAGTATTTTTTTCATTTTGTAACTTTTCGTGGTCATCATTTTAAACCATTGGCAATTTTCACTAAGATCATAAATGAAAACATCTTTTGCTTCAGAAACAGGAAACATGATTTTTTTTTTCTAGAGAATAAATATACTTCTTAAAAAAAAAAAAAAAAAAAATAAATAAATAAAAAAAAAAAAAAATAAATAAATAAATAAAAAAAAATAAAGCTTTTGTGTTGTCAAATGAATTAGAAACAAATCACACACAGCAGCATGTTATCAGTGATAATATTATATGACGATTTCAGTTTTTTGTAATTATAGAAGGAATCTTTTCTCCAAAGAAAAAAATAACGATCTTTCCCCATTTCTAAGGCAGATACTTATGCACATGGTCTTTTGCTGTAAAAAAGGCTGTTCTAATGAAAAATTACCTTTATTTTTTTTTTTTTTTTTATCTTAGTAGTGCTCCACCTGATGATGAAATGTGCCTCATGCCTGGAATAAATGTAACATATGTGGCATGGAAAGTGGAAATGGCAAGCAGAGTTCAAATATCAGGCTAGTCTGTTGTGTCCACTTTTGCAATGACTTTGAGAAAGGCACAACTTGAATACAAACATGAATTTTCTGCAATGTCCAAAAATGATTAAAATCTGGCAAGTGATAGTTAGAATTGCAATAAGTGAAAATTATCACTTTAATCAACTATAAATTTTATAACATTTGACATTAATAAATTGCTATTTTGGTCACATTGTTCTTACAAATAAAAACAAATAAAAACAACAAATATTTACAATTTTTTTTAGTAATTTTCTATACTTGAAAGTATAAATACTAAAATCTGTAAATTGAACAAAGGTGAGTGTGTATAAAACTATAAAAATCAACCCATTGTTACCATGTGCATAAAAGTCTTATCTTGTATAATAATGTGAACTAGTAAAAAAAAAAAAAAAAAAAAAGCTTTTTGTTTCAGACACCTGGAATTTTCAATAAATGAAAGATTTCACAAGAAATACTTTAATAAAAAAAGTTTTCCAAAGAAAATGCAATTCGTGAAACTGAAAACACCCAAGGTGTTTTTTTAAGTGTATTAATTTAAAAATGTCCATATACAAAATATTGTTACATTTGAAAACATTACTTCTTTTGCCATATTTGTATTTATAAAAATTGTTTGAGGTTTTATGCCCTTAAGGATCGATCTGTAAAGATTTAACTATGCAAAATTCATGATAACTATTTTCATAACCTCGTAAGCTTTGAAATTTTAATTTTTAGGACATACAACACATATTGCCTTTTTCAAAAGAAAATAATTTGCAGGTAGTGGCAGCTGTAATGGAATCAAAATTTTATATTAAAAACCCTTAACTCTCCACCAGCTGCAAAAAGATTTTTTTTAATTTTTTTTTTTAAATAGTGCAAAATTTTAATCTTCAAATTAAAAAAAATCCAATTAATCACTAAATTTCAATATGAGTTTTGGGTTTGTGTAAAAATGTGGACATCATTGTTAAAAACTGTAATTCAAAAAAGTTACATCTTACGTGTAAAAAGGACCATGAAATTGAAACCTTATCCAAAGTATACAATGAAAGCAACAGATTTTAACTAATTTTTGCATTAGTCTTAATAATGAAGCATTAAAAAACGAAAGGAAAAAACAAAAACAAATAATAAACCAACCACTAATGACTATCATCACATCACACCCACAAAAGGGGAAGGAAAAGGTGGAGTGGGTAGGGATATGTACGTATGACATGTCCAAGTAATAAATGAATTGTTATCACCTGACTACCAAGAAAAGGTAACTTACAGTGCACCCATTTTATAAATAACATTTTTTAAATTATCACTTGGAAGACATATGACTGATATTACGATGTTATTGTTACGAGTTAAAATTCCAAATTGTAAGTAACAATAATAAATGGCAAATAAATACAAAACAAAAGAATTCTGAATTCGCGTGTCGTAATGTATTTTTAAACAACAATGCGACAATACTTTAAAAAACAAAAAGATTAAAAATGTTATTATTGGGGCACAAGAATTTAAAAAATCGTTCACATAAAAAAAATAAATAAAAAACTGTTTTAACAAGTAAAAAACTTGAAAGTGTCAGTAAAATAAAACGTTTTTATTAGGTGACAACTGTTCAAGTTGCAGTTTAGACCTCCAAATCAACATGTTCAACTTGTTAATTTGGCAGAATTTATTATTTTATTTTTATTTGTTAAAAAGTTAATGAGTCGTAATTTGAGACCTTAACATGCGTTAATAATGAAATTCAAAACTTAGAAACAGGAACACTTGTGGGAACAAACAAATCGATGCGCATCCGGGTTTGAAAAGTGTGTGTGTGGGGGGAGGTCTCTCTCTCACACACACATACACGAAATGTCAACATTAATTTTAAAGAATTAAATCTTTTTATCTTTTCCAATGACATCTATATGGGTCGCTAGCACTAAATCATTTTGTGCGTTGACAAGATAATCGAAAAAGACGTTTGCTTGCTTATTACGAGGACAAACAAGATTTTTGTTGTTGTTTAACATAACCCCAAGAGAAGGCGTTTTGGGGCGCAATGACATCTGCATGGGTCGTGTCTTGGCCTTTCTTACGTGTATGCATTGAACGTAATGATTTTTTAGATTTCTCTTCAATAGGAAAAACGAAAGACAAAAATAGGAAGAAGAAACAAAAATGTACGAAAGAAATGACTATCTTTTGCAAAATATCTTTATTCGGTGATGAAGAGAAACATAAAAAACTGATGGTATCATCACTTGTTTTATTTTTTAAAACGTGATTGTAGAGAAATTACGATAGGCCATAACTGAAAGAAATTACTTTTTACTCAGCCAGAGTCGGTCAATTAAAGCAACATTTCATTCATTCATTCTTCTTCAAAATTAATCGTCTATTCTTTCAAGTCGTAAATCCAAACGACTGATGCGTGACTACTACTACTACAAATAAAAGATTTCGACATTGTGGTGGGTACACCGTACTTTTCAAGATGGTGGGGCCATCAACAACATATTCTTTTCGATATTTTCAATGTCGAAAATCTCAAAAGGTAAAATTAAAATTTAAACAAATAATTGGTGAAAAAAATTTTCTTTTTAAATCTACAAATGGAAATCGTATTCGGCAAGCATAAAACGAAAGTCAAAGAGCAGACATTCTTCATTATTCCGATGAAAAAAAAAAAAAAAAAAAAAATTATTATTATTGTGAAATAATTACTGACACTTCTACATTTGTGATAATAATTATTTAAGAAAAAAGTTTAACATTATTTTTTAATAAATGTCTTATTTCCGCGATTAATTAAAATAGTGAAGTTATTGTTCAATTATAAAAGTTAAATAATGGGCCAAAAAAGTTTTAAAAACAACCGCGATATGAAACCGAGTAAGAAATAAATTAAGTCAAGAAGCCCTTTATTTGCAAAAAAACAAAAAACAAAAAACTCAACAAAGCTAAAAAGCACATTTCGTCATTTCATAACGTTTTTTACTTCACTTTGTAAAGATCAATGAAGTGAAGAAAGTTTTATTTTTTTGCGTTGACAAAAATAAAGTCAGTTCTCCTTTTTGCCTTTCATTACGAAAGAAAATATTTCGCTTTTTTGACACAAGAGGACTAGAGGAGCCTAGAGATGGGGGTCACGACGACAGTTTCTGGGGCAAGTTATGTATTGTAAATTGTCAGACTTCTTAAAACCAATCCTCAGTAACCAATTAAATTTTTAATTTAACCATTTCCCCACTTTTTAATAATTTTCTTGTATTTTAATTAAATTAAAACAAAAATATATACACAGACACTACACAGTATTGTACAATCAATTACAATAGTGAATGTTGTAATGTAAATTAAAGAATTCGTTCAAGAGCTTTTTGTTTTAAAAATTTGTAATTTAAAAAAAAAAAAGGAAACCAAAATACATCGTTTTAAAAATCAGAAATCTTCAGGTAGAAACTGTGTATTGTCAATTAATACTTCACAATTCATATTACAGATTTGCAAGATCAATGTAGTAAGTAAATAAAACATTTTCAATAAAAAATTGTTTAAAAAAATGTTTTTTTCCTGCAATTTAAGGTTTCCGGTCAAAATTATAATAATAAAAAAAACAGTACTAAGAACATTAATAATTGTGTCCCTAACGATGACAATAATCCGGAACATTCCAAATTACAAAATAAGTGCGATTTTTAGTCAGTGAAGGGAGATTAATAAATAAACCAAGGTACTAAAAAAAAAAAAAGAAGACAAATTGAAAATACGATGCAATATAAAAAACTAGTTAAAATGGAAAACCCCTAATTATCGAGCTTTGAATAAACTAGTTTAAAATTTAAAATATATTTTATAGTTTAAGCAATCTAATTTGTTAAGATAAAACACTGAGAAATAAATCGTATATTCAAAATGACGATATTGTTAAGAATTCTTCTTGATGCGCTTATTTTGGCCGGCGAATAAGACAGATGTTTTCATAAGTTGTGAATAAGTTTTAATAGGAGAGAGAACACGAAGGAAATATAAACGGAAGCTAACAAGTAGACAACACACTAAAAATCTGTCATATTAAAAAAAAAAAAAAAAAAAATTAAATATTTGCAATTGGTGTCGAAATTCCAAAATGGGGGGGGGTAACAACAACAGGATATGCAAGTAGAAGATTATTGTGTAAATAAACGAAATGAAATTGGTACAAGTTTTTTTTATTTATTTATTTGCAAAGTGTCAAAGTAAACAAGTTTTCCTTTAAAATTGAAATGACAAATATAAAATAACACAATGCTGTCCTTCCATACTTTTTTTTTTTTTTTAGACAAGAAACCTAGTCTCTACAAATAAAAAACGAATTTTATTATTACATGACGTGGTTTCTGTTTTTAAATTGCAAAAGAAAAAACACAGCAAGTAGTTTACATGTATGTAATTAAATTAATTTGGAATTTGTGTTTATTTACTATTCTTTTTAGCGATAATTAGTCTTTTAATTTAACAATCAGAACAATTTTTAAAATGTTTTGAAATTTTTATATTTTAAAAAGTAAAAACTATGCTATATTTCCTGGTATGTGTAACTTGGGTTAAATGCAGAAATTTAAAATATTTTTTAGTTCTAAACGTAAATACAACTAAAACTTGTAGTTATTTTATTTATTTTGGTCTAAAAAAAGTGTCGAATTTTTTAAAGTCATATCTTAAAGAATTTAAGAAACAAACAAATAAAACTAAAACACCTTAAGTTAGTTTAAGTATCTTGTAATGAATGTATTGTAACTAAATGACTAAAAAAATAAAAAAAAATTCACCACGGTTTTTACCTCAAGAAATTCTTTAAACTCATTACTTTTAAATGAAAAATTAAACGATTCAAAATTCTACGTAAAAAGTTCCTATGCACACTGTATGTTTGGTAGACGTTTATAAATAAAAGCAATGAAAGTTTTTATTATCTATAAAACTTCAGATGTTCCCTTACATGTCAGGGGAAAATGGGTGAAAAACGTTATGAAAACTAATGATTTTTCACTCAGTATTTTTCTTGATTATCCTCATCATTATCACCACGAAGACCCAAATGGCCATCCATACTTAAAGAAAAAAAAGAAAAATAGGTCAAAGGTTTTCCCCAGACTAAAAATGCCAATCAATTCTATAAAAAAAAAAAAAAGAAAAGTAAATAAATAAAAATAAAGGATGTAAAAAGGCCGAAATATTAGTCATGGACTGCTAAGATAGTTAATGTCAAACAAAAGAGAATTATAAAAATGTTATGTGGAATCTTATATTGAATGCAACTTGTAGTAAAAATATGCAGTATTTGCACACATTTTTAGGTAAAGTAAAAAAAAAAAAAAAAGTAGTCTTTTTTATGGCACTTATTGACATTCGTAAAATAAATACATTCAAATATAACTTGGTCGTCTTTCTAACACAATTTTTAATCCGTTCCTCACTGAGAATACAAAAGATAAATTTGCTAAACGATAATTAACTTCTTTTGTATCTTTAAACAGAAAACACCTGGATGGATATCACCAGGTGTGTTTGTGAGATCAAAACAGTATAATTTACAAAAGCGGACAAGAAGGTCAAAATTGTCAGTAATAAGGAGATTGCATAAATGATTTTAAAATTTAACCATTTGACGATAAACTTGACACATAAAAATATAGCTACTTCTACTATTTTAGTACTAACTTGATTTAAGAGAAACTTGTCAAAAATGAAGAAACAAGATTTTGAGAAATCGAAGACTTTAAAAACCTAAATAAGACAAACAGTACAAGAAGCAAAAATTTCTCCAATCAATAAAAGTAATTTAATTAAATTATGATACAAACGGGAAATATAAGCAAGAGACAATGAATGCGAATGTCACGTATATAAATAATACATAGGAAGGACTTAAGGAACCTGTCAGATTGTCATAAAATGGGGGATCATTTTACATTTTATACATAAAATATATTTTATCCCCCACTTTTTGCCCATACTCTATGTTGATAGTCAGTCATTTGCATTAAGCTCGCTTGCTTAGGATACTTAGTCAAAAACTAAAAAAAATCCTGAAACAAATGCAAAACACCTTTAAGTTGTCATTCTACATTAAAAAAATAATATATTTTGTACTATTTACCTATTAACTGTCCGACAGGAGTACTCAGGGGGTTTCCGTGTCCAAACAGAGCTGCCATTTTGATTTCTGACTTCCATAAAATGACGTCACTGAATATTGCTAATGCTTTTTTTTTTTTCTTCTTTTTTTGCAAATACGTATTTTCTTCTCATTTGTGTACATTTTTTTTATATATCCATTTTTTCCTTCGTATTTTCAGCTCAAAAATTATTTTGAGGCTCACATTGATTATTTATAATCCCAGAATAATGTGTGGGCGTATAAAGAATAAATTTTTCTCTGAAAATATTTAGACTGGGCGGAAGTGCACGTTGTCTAGGTAACGGCTGGACGCTTTTATGAAATGTATCACCAATAGTGTAAAAATATATAAAGAGTTTACTTTAATTTAAAGATTGAACTTTTAATGAGGGTATTTTTTATAATTAATACTCGCAGATTTCTTTAATTCTCTCTCAAAAGGATAATTAATTACTGTTTCCGTCAGGTAAATTATCAATTTTCTCTTTACATTGTATGGTGACAATTTGTTGACTTAAAAATTAAATGTTTTTTTTTTATTTTAACAAGTATGTATCATAGTTGTATTATTTATGCATAACTTAATTTTTTTTTATAGATAAAGTGCCCCAGGCCACGATTATCATTTTTTAAAATTCTATAAAAGTCAATCGAAGCATCCAATTTGTTATGTAAAAATTCATTTATAAATTGATCCCAAATGATGGTTGATTGATTTATTTCATTTGTCTTTTTTACGTCTTATTAACCCACTGTAGGTTATTTAAAGCCAAAACATTATTTTTGGTCGTAAGAATTAGACGATTTTGGAATATTGCATTAACAGTTTTTCAGAATAACAATAATTTTTCTGTCCATGGGAGCAAAAACAAAATATGATCATACAATATGATTTTTTAAAATGTAATTTTTTTTTTTAATATGTGGGGTTAACTCCACATACTTTTCTGAAACCATTACTAGGGGACACTGTCTAGCACTATAAATACTCTGTGATAATTTTTCATAGCCTCTACTTACTTTTTCCGCTTACATGTCAACATGTAAGTCTTTCATGCGAAAATGTGTTTCCCATTGGGAAACTCATAAACAAACCACACGCACACATCACACATATGTACACACATTTCACTCACTTCACATTCTTTGGACCAAAAAGGTTTTCACATTCTTTTGTTACACACATCATTGTTTTTGTCACTTGTATACCTTTCTTGTTAATACATTATCATTTGTTTGTACATATATTGGTTCTTGTTGTTTTCTTTTATCATCATGGACACAAATGCTATGCAAGTCCTCTATTTTTCTTGTGGGTATTTCAGGAGACATGTGTTTATTCTCCTAACAAACATGCGACGTACATACTTCCCGCAACAAGTTGGTGACCCTGACATAATTATTATTTTTCTCTTCTTTTATATGTACAGACTCAAATATACATTTACACACCTTTTTCAAAATGACAGCCAGTGAAGAAAAACATTGACAAACTTCTCTTCTTACCCTACCACATACAGTGGACACTACAAACTTACTGCAGAACCAATTTACAAAGCTACAAAATGTGTGCTCAGACCCTATGAAATTTGTGCTTATACCCTATGAAAGAGCTAAATCACAAATTTAAAACACTACAACATATCTACAGAAAACATGATGTTCTCCAACTCAGCAAATAGATTTTCTTTTTTCCAATTTGTGTAACCCAGAATAAAAAAATCCCTAATGGATTTTGCATTTTCTACTATGGTACGTCAGTCACCAAGCAGCACACTCCTCATCTTTACTGCCCTTTTGCTTGACCCTTTTCTTCTCTCAGGTGCTATTATGCTCAACCTCATCTCAACCGGCTGATATCTTGAAAAATCTTTTTTTCCGACAAAATGAAAATGTAATTCTATTTCAACTTTAATCAAAACTATATCTGCTGGGCTAATCATATAAAATGTGACATACCTCAAAAGGCGACTCATTGTCCTTTTTTTTTCACTGTTCAATGATGTCACTCAAACAATACTAAGAATTTGCAAGTATTATATAAAAATCAACAATAATAACAAATTTTTTGAAGTTCTCAAACATGCATTTGACACTTGGTAGAAATTCTGCATCAGCTTAACTTTGCCACAACACTGCTTCTATTAAATTTTGTGTGTTGGCATTATCCATGCATAACAAACAAATGAGACCATTCCAAACAAAGCCCTTCCAACAAACAGGAACCAATACGACAGATGACAAAATCAACTCAATGTGGAGCATTGGAAAGAGACAAAATTTTAATAGCAAACCCTGAACAATCTACACTACTGACGTATCTTCCAGGATGTGCTATGACCCACTAGAGAAAATAATACGACACCCTAATGACAGCACAAGCACCTTTCCTTCAATATATTTAAACTTGCTTCTGACACCTTTTCTTTTCAGCTCATGAAGACAGAAACAAATCTACATGAACTCTACATATTGACAGAAAAAAATTCTACTTATTTAGAGGGAAGTATTATGGGGTTAACTCCACTGACTTTCCTGAAACTACTACTAGGGCACACTCTCCAGCATTATAAATACGATGTGATAATTTTTCGTAGTCTCTTCTTACTTTTTCCGCCTGCATATCAACATGTAAATCTCTTGTGAGGAAAACACATTTCCCATTGAGAAATGCATGAACAAACCACACACACATATCACACATATGTACACACATTTCACTCACTTCACATCCTTTGGATCAAAAGGTTTTCACATTCTTTTGTTACACGCATCATTGTTTTTGTCACTTGTATACCTTTCTTGTTAATACATTATCATTTGTTTATACATATATTGGTTCTTGTTGTTACTTTGTATTTTATCATGGTGGAAGTCTTCCATTTTTGTTGAGAGTATTTTAGGAGATGTGTTTATTGTCCAACAAACACACAACATACATACTGCCTGCAACAAATTTGTACTCTGGAGTTCTTTATCATCACTCCTGATTACAAATCAAAAAAATGTTTACTTTTTACATGATATGAGCATATTTTGTTTTAGATTTTGGAGTGGGATCAATTTACAATTAATTTATGTAGCAAACTGGACCCCCTTATTAATTTTTATAAAATTTAATGAATTTTATTTTTTTATATTTGTGGTTTGGAATGCTTAATTTATAGTATAGTAATATGAAAAAAAAAATAGAGAAAAAAATGATTTTCTGATTACAGTATATATTGTACAACTCCACTAATTTAAAGAACAGATATCAATAATTTATCTAAGTTAAAAGTCAAGTACAAAGGGTAGGAATTTCTTTGCATGTCAGCTTGATTGGAAGGCAACCCAAAGTCAAGTTTAAAGTTGGAGTTCACATGTATATGGATTAGGGATAAAAACTACTGAAGCCCCGTAAGCGTTTCTCTCTTGGGCATGCCTCAGGTACCAGGGATTAAACCTAGCCACTGAGATATTTCTTGATGTACTGCTTAAGAGGAAAGCCCCATGGGGCTCAAGCATATTAGATTAAATTTCAACCTCCCTGCAGGGCCATCTAGCATTACCTTTCCTTTATTTGTTACTATGGTTACTAGTTTGCCCTAACACTGTAAAAAATTTTTAAAAATGACAGTCAAATTTAAGAAATTTTTAATTGTGCTGGTTATATTTTTTGCAGGAGTAAATTAGAATTTTTTAGCTATACAATTAACTCATATATATATATAAGATTTTGAAATTAAAACTATCTAAAGAAAGCTAGCATGAAAGAAAAGAAATAAATAGAAATATATTAGATCAAGTTCTTTTTTGATTTGCCATATCCCTTCTAGACGTGGGCAACTATAATTCTCCATAACTTTCTATTCTTTGTAGCTCTTACTGACATTTGTCCCCTTACTATTTTACCCAATACCTGTTTTACTATTCAATTATGCATGGTCATTAAGTAGGTCATTTGAGGTTTACTTTTGCTTGTCTTGTGCTCAATTTCCTGTGTGGGCCAAATTCTCCAAACCCACTTTCCTCATTATATGTCCCAGAAATTTCAAACATCTCTTTCCAATTTTAAGTACAAATATCCTTTTTCTTTCCATATTCCTTAAAACTTCCTTGTTACTCATCTATTCTGTCCAGGACATTCTCATCATCCTTGTCAAACCAAATTTCTGGTGCCTCAAGTCTCATCTTCATCTGTGAGGAAATTGTCCAGCATTCATCTCTATATAGGAGAATTGATATTATATGATAGTTCAGCACTCTTTTCTTTGTTTCTAATAAAATTTGGTGGTCAACAAATATAAAATCAATTAGTGTTTAATATTATAGAATAGAGTTTTGTTGTTTTATATGGTAATCATAAAAATTTCCCTTACTTTTGGACGTTCCAAATTTGAAAATAAATAAATAATTGTTATAATTCTTTTTCTATCCTTTGCAAATGATTCAAATTTTAGTATGTTATTATGGATGATAACGACTACCAGTTGTCAATATTTCAGCTTTTCACAGTTGTTATTTCTAACAAATATTAGGTTTTAAAATTTTGTCCCTTAGTTTTGGACGCTACTGTATATATATATCATAAAGTGAGAAACAAGTGAGAAAAAAAATCACATGTTCAAATGCTATTCATTGAAAGATGCTACAAATTATTGTCCTAGTCCAATATTATATTATTATACATTATGTTTTATATTATATTATATTATATTACATTATTATATTACATTATTATATTATACTTTTATACTGTACTGGTAGTACTCATCAATTTTATGGTTTAGCTGTTTGAATTTTCTGATGAATCAATTCATAAATCAATAATTGAATAGTTTCCTTTCAAGTCCCACAAATATATAACACCCATGGAAATTCCTCTTTTAGATATTTGGGATTAACAACTTTAATGCAATATTTCAATAACAAGCATAAGTATGAATGCAGGTCATTATTTAAAGAAGTAAGAGGGTACAAATGAAAAGAGTAAAAATTGATGTGCTTTTTCATTTCACTCAAGCAGATGTTAAACACATGAGAGTGTTATTAACTTCACTATCTTCTCTCTCTCTCTCTCTCTCTCTCTCTTTCTTTCTTTCTTTTTTTCTTACTGAAAACAAATGGTATCTCTAATATATTTTTTCCATCTTTCCTTGCAACCAAAATGAAATAGTCCATTATTTATTAGGTATTGGCAGGGCATGATATATGTGCAAACTAACTTACTCAGGAACTAAGGAATAAGTAGAATTATAATACAATATTAAATATTATATCATTAATTTTCATTAAAATATCATTAAATATTACATTATTAAACAAATCCCAATTGGTCAGAACTCCTACATAGAATTGATTAAAAGGGCATCATTTGTGTAGGTACAAATATTATTTACAATTCTTGTAATCGTGCAGAAGATATGCCAGGATGTTAGTCAAGAAATGATTGCTCCCAGCAGGGCTAATTCATATATTGTTGAGGGCCCCTGAAAACTTTCTATGATCTCAGAATAGTGTCATGTGTGTGACAAAAAAAATAAGAGAAGTAAAGGGAACAACAGAAATTTTATAGTAAACAAAGAAAAGGTTTTATTATAATTTTACAGATTATGGTCAGTGACTAAAAGAAAAAAAATATAAAGGCTTACTGACAAGAAGTTAGAAATATTTCAAAATAACTTCAGTCAGGAGTTGCTGGGTTTTGGTGGTATAGTTTACATGTTAGGTCAGTGAATGGTAGTTTACATGTTAGGTCAGTGAATGGTAGTTTACATGTTAGGTCAGTGAATGGTAGTTTACATGTTAGGTCAGTGAATGGTAGTTTACATGTTAGGTCAGTGAATGGTAGTTTACTTGTTAGGTCAGTGAATGGTAGTTTACATGTTAGGTCAGTGAATGGTAGTTTACATGTTAGGTCAGTGAATGGTAGTTTACATGTTAAGACAGAACTTTAGAAAATATTTACTCAGTCCTCTTGTTATTGTAAGAATATTTCAATGAAAATTATCACTAGTTTGCATGCTTACAATTTTAATAAGCTTCTTCATTTTAGTTATAATATTAGAAGCAATGTAAATATTTTTCATTTGAAAGTCAGATGGGAAATCTATCCTATCATATAAGTAATAATGGCTTAATAAGTGTATGCAATGCAAACGAGAGAGAGAGAGAGAGAGAGAGAGAGAGAGAGAGAGAGAGTGAGTGAGTACAAGGATCTTCCATGTGCAGGAGAGACCATTTCAT